CAATGTTTTCACTGCTCAATAACTGAGGGACATTCTAGCTCCATTCAATTACTCACTTATCTTTGCGAGCCTCTGTTTGCTTATGTTAATTATGCGAAGAGCAAGTACTAGAATACAAAGTTAATAAAATCACCTAATAAATCCCCCCTTCCCACTAAAAAATGTGTTCATAGGCTCATATCCTTTGAAATCTCGACCGAATATACACATTTTTATATTGCTTTGGAATATCGGACTCTAGTTTTATACATTAATCAAAAAAAGAAAAAAAAAATCTGGCTTAAAGCAAATCAGAATCAGGGGTTTTCGCCTGAAGTCTGATAAGGAATTGAATGGATTTCGTGACAGGTCTTTCAGGCTCAGTTTTTAAGGTCTTTTTTTATAAATCATGTTTCAATGTCGGTACGTTGGTACGGCAGGTATTCGTTTCTTCCGATACTGCTTACCAAATTGTGTAGCTACAATCAAATCACTGGCCCTTACCTTCATGTAATATATTAAACGACGAGAAACGAGGCAGAACAGAGCAGAGCACAGATACTGTTAAGGACTGGCGCCAACGATAGGCTTCCATCTGTTCTGTCCGCCCTCTATATCTTGTATCTTCTTCGTTATTTATAACTGTTGGTTGTATTAAAAATTTCTGTCAGTTAAATATGTAATACATGTCAAAACTCGATTCAGTTTACTGGCTAACTCCCATGCCTAATGGAGTCATTAGTAACTAAAGACCTCTTGGTAAATAACATTCCGTGCATACGCTGTCGTGTTGCTGTGTGCTGTATTTATCAATGATAAATGGTCGTGTARAACCCACTCAAATTATRCGATAATCCTGGACGAGATTATCTGGTCCTATCTGGACACTTCCCATTTTTATCTACGTTTTTRTGGAAATAATCTGTAATCTTCCCATGAATTGATATTATTTTCTTCTTAATGCAAAGCTTACTTAACTTATCTTTTAACAGAATCTCTTTGTTTTTCCGCATATCTCGTACAGTGGCTTAATTTTTCCTGCTTACTTTGACTTGCGAAGATATTTTTTTTTCCTTTTTTTTTTTTTATTTACAAATGTGTCCACTAGAAAAGATTGCAGATTGTATTTCACCATAGTTACCGGAATTTCAATATCAAAAACGTTACTTTATCTGCCCGGCATTTGCTGACAACAGTTTCTGTCAATATAGTTGGGAGGAAACACCAAACGAACTTAAAATATGCGATAAAATGTAATCTTTGCTATGATCGACGTTGTTGCATTACTAGTGAATATGATGCGCTATTGTTTTTGGAAAAAGTTTTTCCATTTTGAACTGTACACCACATGATTTAAGGAATGTAGATATTCTTTTATCGATTGGACACACGCGATCAGAAGATCGAGAAAAATTCTATTGGACACGAATAAGGAGTTATTGAACAATGATCGAATAGCCGACTTTAGATATTTTATTTCAGTGACCATGCACAAAAGAATTGCAGACGAGGCTCCGGGGAAATAAAAGAAKAAATCAAAATTATCCATTGTTTTCCCAGAGCCTCGTGTGCGTTCTTTTGTACATAGTCATCGAACCAAAATATCTAAAGTTGATAAGTCACTTTACCATCATTATATTGTTATATGATAGTCAACCAGACTGAGTCAGTACTTTTTGTTTTAAAAATAAGCGCGTACCTTCATCTCAACGAGAGTCCAATGTGAAAGCAAAGTGATGCTGTTGAAACCAGCTGTTCGATCAAGTATTGATCAATAAATAATGATTCAAAGTATTATATTCACCTCTAGTGCTCTTTTGAAAAACGCATTAAAAATGAATGCTTCCTAGCACGTTCTATAATGTATATTCTTGCTTATTTCCCTTTATGAAAAGTGGTGCTTTTAATCAGGGAAATGAGAAGTTGTTTCCATCCATTTCACTGCCTTCGGCACTGCAGGCCCTATGAGACCTATGACAAGATGGTAGGACTATCTTCAACTATCTGCACTATTGATGATAAAAAAAAAACGAATTAAAGTAAACCGGTTAAGTTGCCGACCGTTTTTGCCTCCTTTTTCTCCTAGTCTTCATTCAGAACGGCATATGTTATTCTCGAGCCCGCAACAACTTTTCCCAACTGATTCCAGTACCCATTAGTACTYCAGGAGACACTGAAAAACCAAATAGAGTATTTATAGTGTTGCTAGTCCACCTCCACAAGGAAGACCGACAAAAAGGAGAGATCACTTAGTCGGTTTTACCGGCTTTAGACACAAATCGGCAATGCARGAAAACGCAAATGAACTTGTGTAATATCTATAATTTTAGGATGATTGATTTTTCCTGAAGTCATCTTAGTTTCAAATGGTCTCTTTCTCCAGTAAGTATACTATTAGGTTTCACTATTAGTTGTTTTTTTTTTGCCTTTGGGAGCACTTATACATACGCAATTCATATACCGATCTTTCCATGCTGTAAAAACACCAGCAAGCCTTTTCTTATAACTTATTGCCTTACATATTTTCGAAAATGCGAATATGTACTTGTGACGTAGATTAGATTTATTATAAAATTGAAGGATGTCTTTGTATATAGCCGCCGAATACCAATTAAGCAAAGGCTTTTCGACAAAAAAGACACAATCCTGATCAAATTAAAGAGGATTTTGTAATTGCTACTTTTTTGGAAAAGCCAGTTTGTAATAAAAGCACCACTGATCATGACTTATTATATCTGCCAGCAAACATTGAATTTATTTATGTTAAACTTATCCTCGAATAGCATTTCTAGTCCACAAGTGGCATTTTTCGCGACTCTTTGTAAAGAATATAAAAAATAAAAAAWWTTCTTTTCAYMCACATTGGATGAAAAAGTAGTAATTTTGTCGTTAGATGTCTTAGATTAGACTCTGGTATCAGTTCATTAGAATATGACGTATGGAACGAAATTCAAAGCGATCGATTTCCAGAATATTGCGTTTGACAGAATTTCCMGTTCTTAGCATTTTGTTTTTTTTCTACTGAGAGGAAATAGCATGCCTATCGTCTTCATTTCCACTAAAACGAATTAATTTTGATCTACRTTTTCATTTTCATGGTCTGGTTCATCGATCGTTCATTTTTTTCAGTTCAGTAGTTATACTTTYTCTCWAGGAAACCATAMKTGTTTTCCAAATTACCTGGCGGTGTATCATCTCTACCTGGCAATAATGTACTATCAATGATTCACGTATAATTTTTGCTGTTTTTTTCGTTTACACAAAAAGTTTTTGTGTATTTAGCAATGGAAGAAGTATTGGTTTTTCTATTAAGATAAGTAAATATATTACAAGGTGAATTCATTATTAGTTTTCTGTCTTTGAAATTGCGTTTTTCAAAGATTTCCATGTGAATACATCATTGAGTTAAGATGTGATTATCATTGAAGGATACTGACTCAACTGACTGTTGCTAATAAACCCGCCTTCTTCCTTTATGTTTCCTGGACGCCGTGATGGCAATTATTCATTCATTYGAGTAATTTCTGAAGATGCTTTATATTATAGTGGTAACCAAAGGACATTTATTTTTATCGCTTTATGCTATATGAATACATTCGACGGATGGAAACAGATTRAGAATGGATATTTAAAGCTATTTCATTTGTCATATATGAAAAATCCAAAACACKACCACATTGAATGCTGGGAAAATAGCAGTATGAAGAGTTATTTGTAAATGATTTTTGGAAATTTATTTACGCGARAGAGTCTGTTGTCGCCTAAAACAGTGGTCGGTCACTCGCTTTAAACGAGAAACAGGGTTATTGGGGCTCAGCTATCAGTTATACATGTCAAAGGCTTAAATTTATTTTGCCTTAAGCAATAAACAACACATTTTCGTGTGTTCCTGGTGAAATAAAACACGCGGGATTTTGCGAGAACACCAATATTAGAAAAAGCAATTATAATTTCCTAATSCAGGCAGCTGTCATTATCATTGTACCGGTGTTTCTGTCTGGATCTTTTAGACTAGTCTGAGTTTCCTACACCTACAAATTAATTATAAAAGCTTTTAAGCTTTAAAAAGTCTCTAAAAAACGTTAGTGATATTAATTATCTTAATTCTTTTTGGTAGATGAGAGCTAAAAAAAAATTTGTTTTCCATCTTTTTTTTATTTTTATTTATTTTTTTATTTTTTTTTTTTTTTTTTTTTTGCTGGGATGAATTGCTTACGAATATTCTATAGATGGAAAGTTTTAAACTTCGACTTTCGGTTTTTCCAATCTGTTTGCCCGGGATTGTTTCAGAATGATTTGCCCACGAAAAGAAGAATGGATATGTCTTAGTTTGAACATAATAATTATTTTCTAACATATGACATTTCGTGTCTTCATGGTTAGATAGATTCAAGCTTCAAGTAACCGGAAAAGTTACCAGTGAACGGACTTTGAAATTTCGGACTTAAGTTAAATTTTAGAGACGAAAATATACTTTTAAAACCGCAAATACAACTGCGTGTATTTGAAACAAGTATTGCAGTGAGAACCATACAAAATTCTTGTAGAATAGTATAAGAAGCTATAATATAATTCCATGTATAAGTCAGCCAGGCAGCTGCCACGCGTTATTATTCAGTGTGCCAGTCTTCTTCTTCTTCTTCTTCTTCTTCTTCTTTTTCTTCTTCTTTTTCTTCTTTTTCTGGAGTTACAACATACATACCGTGCTTCATTTCCTCCGATTACCAATGAATTCATAACAAACACTGTGTTGAATAATCATTCTAGGCATTTCATTTAGTATCTTTATGATTCGCTAAGTATTTGTAAACAAACTTTTATTTTTACCTAATATTAAGACAGCGTTTTAGCTTCTTTCTTGTATAATTAACATCAAAAAAAGCTTACTAATATTTTTTACAAATCTCTTGTACATATCAGTATTATAAAAAAACGTGCTGAACCCTAACTTATGGTGTTCAGTTTGATCGATTTTTTTTTCCAAGTCAACAATCCTCGACGGATATCATGATGGTACTCGTATATCATGAGCGCAATAGACTACTGTTGCATGATTAATATTCTGACAACTAAGTTCGTGAATTATATAAATGATTTATGCTGCGAAATCTTTGATCGCCATGTGTTTTTCAGTGACTTTATAGCAGTCTCCATCTTAAATCCTCCTAGTCTTCCAGTGTAAAAATTATGGGATGCCAGTGCAACTGGCTTGGAGTCGAGTATGTTATATTCGTTCATACAGCTTTAAAGCATCTTTTACAGCTGTTTACGTAGTATACCGAATAACATATAGATGCAGATCACAAATAGACCACTGCATGTGTTTTATTTGCCGAAGGAGAGGCATATGAAACAGAATTTCCCAGCGTTCGCAGCAAATCACCCTTTTTTCCAAGCCGAAATATGATTTTCTTGAAGGTTTTTTTCCATTCTTCGTCTCGAAAGGCATAAACTATAGGATTCACACTGCTGTTACTGTAATGCAGCCATTTTACTGCCGATACCAGTCGGAAAATATCAGCTTGAGTTGTAGGGAGGCATGGCACCGTTGAATGAGGACAGTATGAAACAATGATTGACAAAAGAAAAAATGGTAGCCAGGCAATGATAAATAGTCCACTGATAACAGCAACGGTTACAGCAACTTTATGGTCTTCACGGATTATATTAGCATTGTGGTTTCTATCCCCACTGAATGACGGTGTCCTCYTGAGCAGTGCCCTAGCGGATCTAAATATCCCAACGTACATTGAAAGAACGATTGTAGCAGGAAGTACAAACCCAATAGCGAAAACCGCCGTATTGTAGCGAATCGTATGGGAATTTCCAAGCCACGACAGTGATGCAAGCACCATTGCAATAGTCCAAGCAAATGCTGACGCACCAAAGAAGAATCTCTCAGGCAAACGATGAAACAAGTAAGGTCGTACCACAGCAATGTATCGTTCAACGCTGATGGAGGTTAGATGAAAAATAGACGCAAACGCGCCAAATCGATCCAAGAATTTGAACACCATGTTATAATAGGGTGATGACATGCAATTAGTGTATTTAACCATACAGAAAACCCACATTGGTAAATTCACTCCACCAACAATCATGTCTGAGACGGCGAGGCTTATGAGAAATGTATTGGTTCGTGTTCTAAGTCGACGGTTTATCTTGTAAGATATGATAACAAGGATGTTACCAACCAGAATCAATGGTATCAATATTGCCGTTACACAAACGGCGAAATATCTCTCAGTAGGACGAGGTAATGAAGGTCCTGTAGTTTGATTCATGTCTAGTGTCTAGCTGGTCCAGAATTAACTTGGTATGATTCTTGACGAAGATGAATAATTCCACTTTAATTAATTCACAGTTAATCCAGAGTCTTTGTCGATAGAAAATGAATGGACTTTTAGTAATGATATGACGCCTTCTACAAAAAACKGTTTCCAGACGCGATTTTCCTGAAAAAGTAAAGTTTATATCAAACCATTAGAAGAATTAATAGTGCTTTTTGTTCTGCACTTTTGTTATTTAGGTTATGAAATGAGGTCTTACATAAACGAAATAGCACAAATAGTGCGAAGTTCCACAACTGAAGCCCACGAATTGAGACAAATTCTTAACTAGTGAAATATAATTCGGGCAGAAAGCAGATGTCTATTATTTGTGAATCTGCACGTTTCGTGACTCGACTCTAAAGGGTTGCTAGATCGAGTAGTTATGATTCCCTTTTAATTGTTTCAATAAGGCTGCCAGAAATGATTAAATATTAAGGGTTTTGAACTAATGCGAAGAAACAAAAGGAAACAAAGAAGCCTCTTTTAATTACAATTCAGTTGTCTCATCGGGCGGAGAGACCTTTAGCGCCAAGTAGATCGAGGAAGTAGCAAAAACCTAGATAAGAAATTCGTTATTTCCTATTTTTTAAGAAATTATATCTTGAYTAAGCTCTATTTAATAATTATTATATTATTATTCTTTATATATTTATTAATTAAAATTAGTAATTATTAGTTAGTATAATAGCTGAATTAACGCTCAAATAATAGTGGTATTAAGTCGATTATTTACAATTAAACTATTTTAATTTGAAAAATTAATCCTAAAGCCRCAAACATATAAATATTTTTTTCTTTATGTCGTTTTTGCTGGCTTAGTTGTTTCTAGTATATAGAAAGTGACGCCTGGAAAACACTCGGTTTGCTGATGAAGAATGGATGAAGGCCATAGGGCCGAAACGTTCAATGAAAACAGAGATCTCAAGCTGATGTTGTGTACTATCTTATTGAATTTATAACAAATTGTCAATAGCTATAGCTCTCTTTCTTAATGCAAACTGACTGCAATCTTAAAACATTCTCAGTACAGTTACTTTCAGTTAGCTCAGTAGCTTACGTTTCCAGTTTTCCCGCGTTCCTGTTACATAACAAGTCAGTGATAACCATATTTTTCTTAATAWTCTTTACCTGTGARTTTRGCAGGTTTAAGTCTCAATCAATTTAAGTGGAAACGCTCTTTRAACGATTCTTCGTGTGTCCGGAAAATGTTGACGTGTTTTGAACTCTACGCATCTGAAGATTGCAGATGCAAATGAAATGACATCAATCTAGGGATTGATAAATATGCAAATTCTGCATGATAAACATCCGAAAAAAACCATTCATTGCAAAAATAGATAATTTTCCTTTGCTGATATCACATTGAATAAAATCGGAGAAATTATCGTTAGTTTCCGGACCCTTGACCGGGCGCTTCATTTGCATTATACAGAAGGAGTGAGAAAAGAAAGACTTTTTTTTGCTTGGATTTTAGATAGCATTTACCTCACCGCAATTCAAATTTTAATAGAGAAGGATTAATGTGATTGTTAACAAAAACCTCCCCCGAAAAATAAATATTTTTGTTTGAATTTGTTGCTGAAAGTTCCATAATGCTTTGCGATTGTCAGGTTTTCATTGACTCTGTTTTCGCTTCACCTCTATCTTTCTAATGTTCATTTAATAGTCATTTATTAACAATTTCTCTTGTCAATTGGTCAAAAACCCTACAAAAACCATACCGAATGACCGCCAAATATCGTTGAAGTACGCGCTGATTTCAGACTTTTCTATCTGGAAAAAGAACTGTCGAATATCCAGATTTTTAATAATCATTCTTAAAAGAACATTTCAACATACATGTAAAGAAATTCTAATTGCATATATAACAAACCAATATCGAGGTAACTTAACATCGAAATCACCGCATTAATAATCACTCCCATTATATAAACTGAGCTCATAGGCTCCATTTGGAAGATCATAATTTGTACTACCAATTAACCTAACAGCGGAAAATATTTAATTCATGTCTGAGGTTTTTAGTCGATTGATTCGTCTGCTGCTCGAAATATCAAGACGCTGTGAGAATAAATAATAAGAAACCAATTCTACTAATAAATTGTCTGGTGGGTAATTTCATTGTCTGTATTAAACAGGTGCCCCTTTGGGCTTCTTTGTCGGTATATTAAAGGCCAATGCACGATTCGTAGATATTTTTGAAATTCGATTTGAGTGGGGGATACATTAGTAGTCCGCGTTAAGTATATAAAAACCTATATTTTGACATTAAGTAGGCTCTCAAGTAAAGAATTTGAAGACAAATTTAGGCCTCCAAGGTTCTTTAATAATAAAGTCTCTCTTTCGTTCTTTTTTCGCTGCTAAAACAGAATGATCGCACATCATTCAAATACTTTGAAATTATGCTTATTAAAACTATATTCAAACTATAATTTGCAATTTGATGACAAATTAAAGGCTTTCATTTGAAATATCAACTAGTACCCTTTATTTAAAGTTTGTATCAATTTACAATAAAAAAGTAAAATGACAAAAAAAGAAAACACCTTAAAGAAAACTCACAGCTGTGGTAAGGATGAACTTTTATCTACCACATGCAGCTCTCGACAAATCGGAAATCGAAAAAAAAGCATACTATTATTGCATAACAAACGAATAATATACTTAAGCCCTTAAGCTTGAAAGACCAGAAATGTTCTATCATCAAGTTTCGTTTAAAAAAAATAAATGCCTTAATTCATGAGCTTCTCTTGAGACATTTATACAGCAATTCCACCGATAAGTCCTAGCTCTAAATTTAATCATTTAAGTGCATTAATCGTATTTAGAGGGGGCTGAGAAATTTAAGCATAACAGGTTCTTAAAGGCGGCAAAATACGGACGCAACAAAATCCTCTGTTGCGAGTTGAAGAAAGTTGTGACGCAAATTGGTTGATTTTGTTGCGTGTCAATTTCAATCTCAATAAAAAACGAGAAACAAAGCCAAAATTTATATCTGAAAGTAGAGCGAGAGTCTACTTTGCGCAGCAACTTTAATTAATTTTTCAACTCGCAACAGAGGATTTTGTCGCGTGCCAAGTTGATCGCGAGCGATGAAAAATGAGAAACATCGAACCTAAACTTGAACAGAAACAATGTTGCGCGCCATGTTGATAGATTTTGAATCTCGTATTTTGCCGCCTTAAAACCTAGGTTCTTATTTGTGTGTTATTGCTGTATTCAACACTCACCTGTTTCTAAAATATAAAGAAACTTATCATTATTCTTATTACCGCTTAAACCAATTATTTTAACGTTGAATTGAATTTTTGCGGTGAATTTCATACTAATACTTTAATATAAAATGTGATAAACACCTAATCGACAAGAAAATGCGTTTGGATATTTTGAAGAAATAGTGCAGTCCAAAAATAAGATGATTTAAATTATCAGGAGAGGAAAAATTGCTCACATTTAATCTTTGTCGTTCGTCTACTAAGAACAGCCAGTCAAGTTATAAATTAGGTACCTTTGTGCTTTCACGGAACTGATTGATGCACTCAAAGAAACCTGACTGACGTCTTGGTTACTACAAATCAAAATTCTGATTCTCCCTCTGGAAGCGAGGACACTGACTGGGGGCGCGATTGAAGCCGGATATCTTTCCGAGGATAGCTAATCTAGTGTATTTTAAAAACGTTAAAAAGCCGGAAAGATTTTAAGATTTGAAAAAAAAAAAATGAAATTTGCAAGATAAGATTTGATACTAACAGCATCTTTTCAGCTAATGCATCATCACTAAATATCATAAGCTCTGAAATGAAAGAGATGTGCATGAACATCGTCCGCTATTCCCCAACATATCACTAGTTAGATTGTATATAACTGCGTCTTCTTGCTCTGACGAATGTTTGCGTGCTAAATATATAATTATTATCATTTAAAACAAGGAAAAGTGGGAAGTCTGTGTCGGGTACCGTGCTCAGTGTCCTACTGTGTAGGTATTGCTAAAATTGGTCTCGTGTGCCGAACAATCGTTTTCTATTATCTATAGCAAAGCTGGAGTTTATCTTGAGACCTGCTAATTGGTCTTATTTTCCAGTATCAAAACAAATCACTATGCTGAAATTCGGCGAATTGTTAATATTTATAGCTTTTTCTTCTTATAAATAAAACAGATGTAGCTTTTTGTACCTTTGAACGCAGACTATGCATACAGTAAACAACTGAAAATAAGAACTTTATTTTTTGAAAGTCTGGAAAAATGGTTCTTGTTTTAATGGGTAGTTGTTGGTAATTTTGGCAAAACAGGTTCTTTATAAGGTTCTTAATTGCTACAGTAGTCTGAAACGCTGTTCTCTAAAAGGATGAGTGTATGTATTACTTTGTCAGTGCTACATAACTTTGTTCAACACTAAATGGTGCTAGCTATATAGGATATAAAGTGTTTGTACTGCTGTATTATATTGGGCATTTTGTGTAAATTATCTTTTATTTCTTTACACACACCTCTAAATTGAGTCAGTAACTTGTGGTTTGTTTATCCTGTAATTTAGTTCTATAAGAACCTGCTTGATAATATTTGGCTAAAGAGGTTCTTATTTAAGGGGTTATTAAAATGGCAAATTTCTGCCAAGAGGTTCTTAATCCATTAGGTTCTTATTTTCGGGTGTTTACTGTATCGGCCTATTTGACCTAATAGGTTTTAATTACTTGTATAACATCAAAACAAGACACCTTTCGAGAAATTTGGATTGATATACCATGTACTATTTCCTTAAAAAGAAGGCTTTTGTTTACTTAAACCGACARGCCAATAAAATAACTCCCTCCCCAACTTGGGTGGCGGTGTGCCTCCAAACCCTTACCCTATCACGGACCAATTTTTGTGATTTTACATACCCTACCAGGTACAAARTTACATTATTTTAGCGCTGAAAGCGGGGCCTAGCAGATACGATCACAGGCAAAACTCCACCCTACCCCAGCCAATTGAGACTATACCCTATCTTAGACAAAAAAAATTACCCTATCCCAGACAAAAAGACTACCCTATCCCAGACAAATGGGCAAAAAATGATACCTTATCCCAGACTTGGAGCTCCGAAAAAGAGACCCGATCGAGCAGCGCATACCCGTATAGG